CTTTAGGGAAAACCTGCATTGACATATCATGCTTACTTCCTGATTTTCTGCTTTTCTCCATATAGTTTTGATTTGCAATGCATATGTGTAATTAAATGGATGGACATAATCATAAACCTCTTTTCACGTCAATTTTCCATCTATAGCCACATTTGACATATGTGCACTTAATTGTCAGAATCAGAAATACAAGGATCAAATTGGAAACTATAAATGTTAAGATGTTATGCGGCCAAAATATCATGCTTAATCTTGCTAGTTTTAGCGGAAATACAACATATGATTAATGTATAACCTAAATTTAAGGGAGGTTACTCACAAAGCCAAAACCATTGGTGGTAGATTCGGGTTTAATCATGGAGTAGCCAGTAGGATAGTGTCCAAGGAAGATCTTAATGTACGGAACCTCGTCAACGATAGCAGAGACACCACCATGCTTACTTCCTCTTGATAAAGCGAGAGCATATTCTTCAACCGTCTTATAAGAACGTTTGAATTTTATGTTCGACCCCTTGCCGACTGATTAATGAATGGTAACCTATATTTCCTCTTGAGTTTAATTGTATTTGGTTAACTGTCATAATTGATGTCAGAGTTGCTGTGTAACTGGAAGTGAATATAAGCACAGCAAAACCCCATACGATCACTACAAACTTTGCTAAATTGTTTAACAACTTCTCCCCTGCATCAAAAAGACAAAATTTCATTTCCAGGTGATCTTAGCAAATCAACTCTAAACTAATTCAAGACTGATGGTCAACTATATTCGTAATTTGAGTTCGTTCTTTCATCTGAATTAAGAGAATTTGAGTGACTAAAAGTGAACAAGGAATCATTTTGAATTAAGACAATTCAGCCAGAAAAATATAATTGAATAAACCTGAATAATTGAATAATTGAAAGAAGCAGTGAGATATCGTGCACTTACTATGAGCATACACAAGGGTTGAGAAGGCAAAGCATAATATGGTTCCGATTTGCTGCGAAGGTGCGCCTTGGAATTCTGGGTTGACAGGACGCTCAATTACCCACACAACGAAACCGGTCAAGATAAAGAAAACCGCACTTGTGATCCAAAGATCTGCCGAAAGAGGTTTCAAGAAAAACCACATGCCTTTATTTTCATTTGATACTAGCATCCCCACACCTAAGTCAGTATATGGTATTGTAAAACACACATTCTGAGATCTCTCCGATGTGATCGTGGTATCCCCAACAACAGCATCGAATGTCTAGTCAAAATACATTCCCCATTATGCAAAAGTGTGTGGCAGGAAAACGGAAAATTAAAAATTAGAAAGATTAAATAATCAAAATGTAATATAATGAGATGCAAATCTATTTTTGCATTACAAGTTACTAGCATACAATTACAGATGTATTTATCCAACATAATATTTATATTCCACCTGATATAAATTTTTAATTTCAAATTAAGCATACCTGGAGAAAAACTTGGTAAACAAGATCATTGTAACTTTCATTAATGCCAACCGGAAATGGAATGAAGGTATAATTTACTTCATACGGCAATGCTCTAATTGCAGTCTCGAATACGTCGATGCAGAAGCCAGAGAAATATGTTCGATTGGTTTGATTATCATGTTTCATATGCACAAGTTCGTTGAACCCTATTCTCACTGGAACTCCAACTCTTAGTTTTATTTTGGAACTATTACTCAATTGCATCTTTGAACCTCTTGGGATGGTTGATGATCCTCCAGGCCATATGATTGTTTCGAGATTGTTGGTAGAAAGTAAATTTCTTCTGTTATTAAGTGGGTAGGAATCTCTTGTGTGTTTTTCTTCACATGGCCACAATCCAACCCTTCTTTCCCCTTTTCCTATAACATTCACAATCTCAATTGCAGTTGAAACTAGCTTCCCATTTGGATATTGAATTTCTTCACCGCTTAAACCCTTAAACCTTGTTTGCAATATCTCTTGAAGAAGCAGAAGTCCATGTTTGGAGGATGTAATATTGTTTAAATTCACTAGGTTCAATCCTGTAGAAGTCCAGGTCCTCTCAACTGCTTCAGCTAGAGTCCAAGTTGCATTATATGCCCAAATTCCATCTGGGGTTACCGCATTTACTACTATTTTAGGATCTGATAACAGTATGATGTGCTGACACGTGTACTTGCTGAGGTGGCAAGTCTGTTAGCTCTTCACGTGTTTGTTAATCTGATTAGTTACTCTTGTTAGTCTAATTAGTTATTCTGTTTAGCTCAGATTGGTGAAGGAGTCATGTTGACTCAATTACAGATGGGTCCATGGAAGAATGCAAGAAATTCATGCTAGTTGATGTCATGATCCAAGCATACCCTTCACTCAGTAGGCCTAACTTTTTTGCATTCAAGAAAAGGCGAGGAACAAGAAAATGTGATACATGCACCACAAATACCGTCGTCTTCAACTTTGTGAGGTTGCGGAGCTCTTCAATGATCTGTTCATCTGCTGAGGAGGCAGCAATGCAACTTTTATATACAATAGTCACATTTGCTTCTTCAATGGAGTTGATAAAAAATGGAATGATGTCTCTCCCATAATCTGTGTTCTCATATAGAAGGATGACAGCCCTCCATTTGAACATTTCAATAAGGCCACTGATTGCCGTAACTTGAGAAGTTTCATCTTGTGTAATCTCCACAAAGAAGGGATATTCGCCAGGAGCACCGAAAGGACTAGTACGAAGTCCAGAAAGTGACAATACAGGGACTTTAGCTTCTTCTCCTAACTCTGCCAATAGGTTTGCTTCCATTCTTGTTTGTGCACCAATTATTGCTTCCACTTTGATCTTATCCAAAAGATTTAGAGCTGCATTTGGTTGAAGATCGCAACTAGAGTTTAAGATAAAATTATATAATGATAGTTTCTTAAAAAATTTTATTATTATAATCATTATAACAAAGTCTAGAAAGAAAATTAATTTTATAGTAGAAAGACTAAAATATTAATATGTGGCTTACCAGCTGATAGAGCATGCAGAGCTTTTCCTTTGGAATCTCTGGTGTGCAGAATTACTCTTGTGCTGTAGTTATTATGCAGATGGTAGAAATCAGACAGGGATGTTGAAATGCAGCTGAGAATAATCTTTCCTTCCCTTGACCCCATATCAAGAATCACACCAACATGAACCTCTTCCACAACAATATTGGGACTGCCATCAATTTCAGCACACAAGAGACCTAGGAGGCCAAACAAGGTCACAAAGGACAGGCACAGGATGATTTGCTTCTTCTCTTGAAACTCCATATACACAAGAGACCAACTTAATTTCTGCTTCTCTATTGTTTGGTTTAACACCTGATCAGTATCGTCTTGCATATATATAATGCTTCTTCATATGTTAATTAATTAGCGCTACCTCGCCCAAGAATATTAATTTATATTAGTTAAATAAAATGCTGTCTAAGGAGGAAAACTATCACTATCATGATACCGTTACTTCTCTTTAATTAGTGAGAGGGGCTGTGGACTGCAAGACATAAGAAATTCCAGTGATTAGGAAATTCCAGAAAGCAACGTCCAATGCAAACACAAACGCAACCACACCACTCACGGTCCCAAAATCTTCCCGGATAAGAAAGTGACCAAAATTACCCTTAACCCAAGAGTAAATTAATATTTTCCCTTAATTAAATTAAATTAGGAAAATAAACGGAGTCGGGGTGTTACATCCGACTTTTCATAAGTTGGAATTGGATGGCATATGCTGCTGCTTACCTAAAGAGTTCAGAAATACATGGTCCTATAATCAATTAGTATCTAGCATACTATTTTTCTTCAAAGAAATATTTGATACGTACAGAGAGAATCAATCTATAAACGTGCGTAAATTTGTAATGAACACTATCATGTGGGGCTAGTGTCAAACAATTCTCAACACTTATAGATTACCAAGCAGATGTATGAGATATCGTTTAAGTTTAAATTCACACTGAATCAAAGCATAAATGATGAAAGACTGGTTGCTGACAGTGTTGCTTCCTTTATTTGAAGTGGTGATTTAACTTTTGCTTTCAATTTCAATATAATTTTAAGCCCCTGATATTTTTTTTTTTTTTTTGAATGAGACAGGAAGAAAAATCTGAAAATTTTGTGGTTCAGATTGTGAGAACTAGGAATCCATATTGAAAGCAATGTAACAGATATTACTCCATCTTTCTATCCATATATGGTATTCTCCAACAATGGTATTCTCCAACAAGGGACAAATATAGTTGACCCATTCCGAGTCAATGACATACTTTTTTTGTTGTTTTTTGAGTAAAGCCATTCCTTAACACTTGAATAACATCTTTTGCACAAATTTTCCAGCACTAGTGGGGCCAGTAGAATTGGACCAATTCAAAGCTGTCAAATTAAATAGTAGTATACAAGGAAAATATTTCCCTCCTTACCATGTAAGTAGAAGCTCCTATATTCTTGCTAATAGCAGTGTAATATGTGTGCATAAATTTATCTTTTTGTATAATTTTGATTAATTACTTTTGCATATGTGTCAAACTATAATTCGCAAAAAGGAAGAATATCTCCTTATAATGAAAGAGGCAAGCAGTATCTAGTATACTATTTGATACTAGTCGTGGCCAGCTAGTCTTGGAAAATACTAGTTTTGTATCAAAATTCCAACTCACAAGGTTGGAAAAGTATATACAACCGAGTAGAGTTTTCATTGGTCAAGCACTGTAGTTTTCCGATGACAGGACCCGCCCCGGAATTTCCCCCGAAACCGGGGCGGACCCCGTTTTGGTGCCGACATCACATTGATGCCGGGCCCACTTACTAAAACCCAAGACATTCTACCAAAATTTTGGCAGAGTCTCCCCTGTAAAATGCCCAAACCAACATTAAACAACCTGCATAATTTACATCAATATAAATCCCAACTGCCAGCATGCTTTTAACATACAACAATCCAACATAAAATGGCCTCCGGCCTCAAGTAGTAGCCTAAATTGGGCGATAACAGAGCGTCTACAGAATTTGTTTACAACAAACAAGGGAGTAGAAAGAATTTATACAGACCCTAACAACTGACGACAAGCTTGGAGCTCGTGACTTGCTCGAACGCCTTCAGAAGCAACTACTGTCTGGGGGGCGCAAAACAGAAAGATGTGAGTGGACAAAAATAAAGTTTCACTTTAAATCAACATAATAACCCCACCATGTAAAAATAATGCTCTAGCATGCA